GCAACAAACAACTGCAGCTCATTGTGATTCGGTGACTTACGCACTGCACGCTGATTAGTCATGACTGCGCCCAAAAAAGGGTAGCTGGCAACATCAGCCTAGTGACAACTTTGGGGTCGGTCGAAATGAAAAGATTTTGAACATCCCCGTCCACGTATCGATCGGAACTCTCCTGCGAAAAGAGCTTGCACACGAAACCGGAAATATAGATGTCGATGGGGTCCTGTCAGAAAAATGTTGTGCCGGACGCATGAAGCACGGCACCACACCCACAGCTTCCCTTTTGCATCTTCATGAAAATATGATATGATATTTCACCACTTGAACAGTGCAGTGACAGTGGCTCATGAGTTCATGGTATATGAACCCACGCTAAAACATACCACACCCAAACCATCCCAAACCAAGCTTTCCTGGGTCAAATTCTCCACTGGCGGGCAACGTTGGTCATGTACAGCACATCGTCCACCAGTCCTCGTTGGTCAATGGGGTGTTGAACGAAGACGAACCAAATGTTCAAAGAGTCAAAAGATATGAGTCATGGTCATGGTCAAAAGTCAAAAGTCATAAGTCGCTTGCAATGACTCCGAAATCCGAAACAAAAGACAATTATACATGTTATAACTACGGTGATCCACTGATAACACCGTACACCACGACTAAAGTATCATCAGGCTGCCCGTGAATCCATGTTGTCTAAAAACCCCTAGGCCCCTAGGTGAAGATCTTGATGGATGGCCCTTGGATCAAGCAAGGGACCTAGCCGAAACGATGTCGAAATAGAGGTGCTTCATGTCGTAGTTCTCTAAAAGAAAAGTGCGCGTTCCAGCCTGGCTACACATGTTGGAGATGCAAGCCCAATCAAACATGATCGCAGATTTAGCAGTTTACACAGAGAAACTACAATATGATGAACCAGATTGAAAAAGATTAAAATTCAAACAGGCCATCGGCTCATGGACAATCAGAACTTGAGAGTGACAACTGCGGCAGCCAACATCCACCCGCTTACAAGAACAGGCAGACAGTCACGTCACCATGCATCGCAGCCACCCCAGACCCGGAATGGTGCATTCAGGGAACGTGCAGTTCGCTTGCAAAAAGCTCCTCGTAGTTGCGATCCCCCACCAGCTGCGCCAAAGCGTGGCACGGAGCTCCAGAACCAGAGCAGGCCGTGCCAATCACCTCAGCAACCGCATTTAGTATTACTAATTACGTGTCATTTGGTTCAGACATGCCTCAATATTCATACGGGCACGGACTCAGACTATATCAGGGCTCAGTTCGTAGGACGTTAGCACGCGTGTAACTGTGTAACCGAAATTTCCAGTACGAATTTCGGTAAGACTCAAACTCATAATATATCATATAATATAATTTAATATAATATAATACATCATATGAATCATATGTTTTCATTTCACAACTTCATATGAATCATATGTTTTCATTTCACAACTATGGCGGGCACCTGGTAGATCAATGGCCAATGTCAATGAGAATTGGATCATATTATTCATATACCAGAATCTTATTAAACACTAACTTAGTTTATTTTTTATCATTGTCAGTGATCAGTGATCAGTGATATGTTTAATTATATAAATGGCGAGTGGTATGACAGGACACGGATCAGGCCCGGAGTCAACCCAAACTTTTTCCACCCGAGCCGCAAATGGTGCTGTGCTTTGTATACTGGCTGTATACACTTCCCAGCACTGAGCCTAAATACGGGAACTTGACATCAAATGGCAGCAGACCTTGATAGATGAAAGAACTGAAACAAACTAACCAACGGCGCCGGTGCTATGCACAATCGACAATCATCTTGACCTAGAAGTTGGCATGGACCATCGACCAATGCCTAGCCACCACTCTTGCGAGTGGTACGCCGTGTCGTAGGCCAGGGCTAAATTGCATTTCAACTTGCATCCTGTACTCAAAGTACACGGTGATGATCTCGCGGTCAAGCGGAGCCGGCGGGCCCCCCCCATTGTCATCTGGGACGGGGACCCCCCCATTGTCGCCTGATCCTGGAAAAGGGTCGCGGTTCCAAGCTGCATGCCAAGATGGGGTGGCATCGGAGTCAGAGTGACTGTTCTCACCTTCAGCATCGACATCCATGCTTCCATCATTGGAATTGGCCCCATCATCAATTCCATCACCATCGCTGACCCCTGCATCATCCTGTGGGTTTTCTGGGTTTCCTGTAGCTTCAATGTCATTCGGTGGAGAGACATCCGCATCACTAATGTTGGTCAAACGTCGAAGGGTTGGCCGAGAGGACTCCAAGTCGCTCGACATGTCTTCTTCACGATCACTGGGCACCGATTCAAACTCAAAATTGGAAAAAGCTTCAACGTCAGTTTCCGCGATGTCTGGAGGCGGAGGCACCAACTCGCTATCACATGTCACAATGACATCGTCATCGCTATCAGCATCATCATCCAAATTAACAGTTTTCACTCCAAGCCCCAGATCTGACATGACAAAGGAATCAGGGGACCACGAGCGACAACGTTACCTAGCTAATCCTAGCTACCAGTGCTGCAGCCAGAGTGCCTGCATTTTGTCCGTCATGAATCATGAAGAGTATCAGTATCAGCAAACCATGGAATATGACCTCCGATCCATCCTACTTCAGAAAATAAACATGAATCATGAAGTACCTTTATAGATTATTCATTATGGTACGGTATTGGTAGGTATCGGTGTTGTATGGTGTTGTAAACTTATAAGGCTATAGGATGCTATAGGGCTATAAATACTCTCGACAAGAGTTTGAACATTGCCGCAACTGCTCCTCAGCCCACCCACAAGTGTAAAGTCGAGTCACGAGTTTGTCGTCGCCCAACGGTTTCTGAAAGATGCCGGCACAAACCGACGCAGCATTCAGAAACGCCTCTGGCCATTGGAGCCAGTGAAAGCTGCTTGGTGGGGTGTGGCTTGGAGGTGGTGAGCGCGATCTGGACCTATCTGTTTGCCTTAGGCACTGCACATGTATAGTCTGAGTCTCATAGGGCAGCATGAATTTGGCTGTGTTTTAACTGAAGAGTGAAGAGTGGATTTTGTAGTTAGTTAATTAGTAATTAGTTTTATCGACAGTAGCTGCTGGAAAGGTTCCGATGGTTTGGTGGTCCGCAGTCACCGCAAATCCGACAACATGTATGACGGACGTGAAACAAATTGATCAGATCACTTCGAACTCCTAACAATCGTTTAATCTTCATTTTCGATTACTTGTGAAGTTTTTTTGGCGCAGATTGACGTGTATGGCACGATTTGAATGGAAGGCTTCCAATTCAGCTTTGATGCTCATCCTCCGATTCTGAGCCGTATAACCGTCGCAAACCTTTTGGTGGTCCAGACTCACTTGGGCTATCGTCCGCGCCGCTGCGGTACAAGCAAGTCAGCGGCATGGCAACAAAAGCCAATTAATTCTCTTTGGTTTTGTCGCAGGAGTTTGTCCAAGGGTTCCGTAGAGTGAAAGTGGAAAAACAGATATCTCTATTACAACGATTTTACACCCTACAGCACGTCGATTTTACACATGATGTCACATAATTCTGCCAACATGTGATTTGTTTCGCCCCTGGCTTATTTCGATGTGATGCAAAAGAATGGAATGTGCCAAAACAGGCTCAATAGGAACGGACTGCGAGCAAATGGTGGTTGCAACATGTTGCAACATGTTCTCTCTTCTTTGTGATCCAAAACTTGTTCCAAAAACAACAACAACTTGCCATCAAGTCGATTGTTCTATTTTTCTGTCCGCCCTACCCCCCCCAAGACTTCCGGGCTAAGAACCTCCATATTTGCGCTTCGGGCCATATACTTCGTAAGTTTCTTGATCTGCAGGTCAATTCCATCGGTTTCTGTAGTCATGTCACTTTCAGCTTCACTGGTTTCACTGCCCACAGAGTCCACGCAGTGACTTGAGGTGGTGTCACAGTGGCGCACGCTACTGCTACTGTTATCCATGCCAATCGCCGCAGCACACCGCCACGACATGCAGTCTCTGGTATCATGAGATCTTGGTACCGCAACACAATGAAGTACTGTATGTAGCATGGTATTGTGATGTATCATTGTTTTCCCTAATGTTTTGTGATGTATCATCATTGTTTTCCTTAATAAGATCTAAGCATCGCCCATGGTTTTGTGATGTATCATTGTTTTCCCTAATGAAATCTAAGCATCGCCCATGGTATTGTGATGTATCATTGTTTTCTCAAATGAAATCCAAGCACCGGCAAAAACACCAGAATTAGCGCCCAGGAACCCACAATTAGCGCCCAGGAACCCAGAATATGATTTTCACGTTATAAGCATTACATGGGTCTTCCAAATTATATATATATGTGCAGATAAGTGCAGTAAATTGCACGCTTTCAGATCCCAAAAAAAATCAAAATGACCAATCTGATCTGAACGGAATACATTTTGACCCATGCTCAACTGAAGACTACGAAAGTGGAATGTGTGCAGAGTGATGATTACCTGCAGTAGGCGTTTGGCCAAGACTGGGTGCTACATCTTCCAAGTCATGGGGTCCAACGAGGTTGCTGAACACCAGCAGCCAAAATTCTACCCTCTGGTAAACGTTTACAAAAAACTATGGAAAATATTGGAAAATCACCATGCTATCAATGTGTAAATCCACGATTTCTATGGCCATTTTCTATGTCGCAAACTGTAAACGTTTACTCGGCCGGGTAGTTGCTGTCCTTGAAAAGTCTTGAAATTCCATGGAATCCCGCTGTCGTTTGATGTCCAGCCTTGACAGAGCTGAAGTCAAAGCCCCAAACCTGGACGAGGCCAGGGAGGCAAGGATCGCTCCGTTTCCAAACCAAAATTGATAAAATTGGGAACAGAAACAGGATTGACATCTGGGAGAAGTGCGCCTCTAGCCGTTACTAACCATCTCCAAACTCCCTAAAAATTGCCAGGTTTTAACCCCAATCAGCATCATTTCACCCTGATTTTCCAATTCGTCAACCCTCCGCCCGGTGCTGAGTCGAGCACGTCATCGAAGAAGTCGTAGTGTTTCTTCTTGTGATCACCATCCTGGCACCAGTTTCCTACCTACGGAAGGGCAATCATATGGGGCTTTGCATAGTCATGGGGGTACCCCATAACTGGATGGTTTATTTCATGGAAAATCTATAAATGGATGATGACTGGGGGTACCCCTATTTTAGGAAACCTCCATATACCACTCACTGGCTTTTTAATCACCACGGAAGGAAAGCAAGGCCCCCTCTCCTTCGAAATATCGACAGCATATCACCAGGAACTTCCGGATTTTCCATCACTGTTACTCTCAACTTAGGATCCCATTGCACTCAAAATAAGTCCGCAAGGATATATCAATTATATATCTCCAGTTTTGCTACCTCAACTTCAATGATTCAAACCCCATGCTTTTGGGTCAACTCCCATCCAAGTTAACGTGCTTCAAGCGTCACTTTCTTGTTGCCTTGAAGTCATGTTTTTGTTGGTTCAAATCCCACCTGTTTGATGGTTTCAACACCCCTTTCAACACAATCCCAAATATATTTGTAAGAATCAAGTAAACACAATAATATCAGATATCCTTGAACGTTAAGAAAAGCTTAGTTCAACCACCCCCTCAGCCACCTCAGTCACCTCAGCCTGACCGTCCTTACATTTTCACCAGTTCCCATTCGCACTACGGCGTGGACCGCCTGGACCATGGACACGAACAGCTTGGCGCGGTCCGGGAACATCAACCCACCAGGCTGGCAGCCGGTGACAACTTTGGGATGGGTCAAGTTACCGATCGGAATAAGCATCCATTCAATGGCCATTTCAGGAAACGATTGATTGGAGGTACCTACCATATATAAGGCCTATTTTTTAGGCCTATGTAAGGGAATATTCCCATTGATCCATTCAAAAGCTATAATGCTATGGGTACCGTTTGGGTACCAGGGTTTCGACCCATAACCACTTGGGAATGGTTTATGAAATTGGGTGAATCCCACATTATAATCATTATATGACCAACACTTTGAGCACAGGAAAAACAATAAAATATATGTCCCCAAGAGAAAAATGGGAATGACCAACCACTTATTTTTGATTTTCTTGCTGAATTTTGATGTAACATGGTATAGCCAACAATAACCGAGCAGTATTGACGATATAGATAATAGATATGGAAATAGAAGATTACATTTGGCTCTATCGAGTAATGTGCTAAAGCCAAATGATAAACTATCTCAGTGAACCCATCATAACAGGGGGCTCACAATGAACATCAAACAGGGTATACTCAGGTATACTCCACCAAAATTCATTAACCCACTTTTTGGGGATCAGTCATAAGATGCAAAAAGAAATATGTGAAGTGTCTCCAAATCGTGGAAGAATCACATCTCTTTTCAAAAAAAAAACAGGGCTGTGTAAAGACGGATTTTGCAAACCTTGGGATTGGGCAACTGATGTTTTTGGCAAAAATACCATCTCAAAAATATTGGGAACATATTTCTATAAAATTTGGGATGTAAATACCATCTCAAAAAATCCGGGAGGCGGGTTTTGGGCAACTGATTTTTGTTGGCTTTGCCAAAAGGGTCAAAACTGGAGCACCAATGGACCCACAACATTGCTCATGTTGAGCTACTATCAATTTTTTAGAATAAATCTTGGTCCATAATTGGACTATTGAACATATCTATCATTAGAGATATACACTATATACAGTGTGTATATATATATACATATATTTATATTGTTATCATACTCAACTTTAGTATCAAACCATCCATTTGTGGGGGCTTGATGAATTGACCATAATTGACCTGTCCTCATATCTGATCTCAGCCATGATACAGCGATATCCAATCAGATTCGCACCCTCCGGTGTCATCAAACATGGCGGGCCGCTGGGAAATCCACGAACTAGATGCAGGTGTACAGCTGGGAAATTAAAAACTCTAAAATCTGTAGTGGATTTTCCAGAATGCCACGTTATCCACGTAAAAATACCTGAGGGTACCATCTCCCATTCTATTTTCGTAACGATGAGAGATACAGTCTCCATCATGTTCCAAGAAATTTTCACTAACATGGGATAGACAATGAGATATGCAGATATACAATCAATGATTCCAATGAGATATCTCCAATCATTGTCTATCATATTTCACACATTCTGGTATAGATGGTATAGTGAGATCAGTTTTTCCAATTTTTTGGGGGATCATATTCCAATGGGATATTCCAATATATTGGGATAACCTATTGGAATATCATCCCAAAACAAAATTGGAAAAATTGATCTCACTATAGGATATTCCAATATATTAGGATATACCATACCACCTATAAAAATGGTGATTTTGGGGATGGTTTATGGCATTGTTTTACCCACATTACCCTTTGGTAAATTAACATAACTATGGAAAATCACCATTGTTTATGGGTAAATCAACTATTTCTATGGCCATGTTCAATAGCTTTGTTAGTTTACCAGAGGGTATATACCTCCATTGATCCCACGAAAACTCGACCTTCAACCAGCGCTCCCTCGCTTCGATGAGCTCGACAAGCCGTGCTTCGTACCTTGTTGGAGAAACGTGTTTTTGCTTTGGAAAAATGGGGAAGGAACGTCTGGTTTTTGCGGAAAAAATGTTTCAAGATGGTGGTTAGAAAAGAAAAAAACGTGAAAAAAATATCCAAGTTGCTTGAACATGTTGCTTGTATAAATGGTGTTTGACGGTGATATACCATTATTTTGGTGACCACTTTTAGAAAATGCGGATGTTAATCCACAATTTTGTGGGATATTTCATTGTATATGTTTAGGATATTTAAAAAAAAAAAAAAAACATATTTGACCATATGGGACGGCCTTGTCGAGGAGATTTTAGCATAGAAATTTTCCCCTTTTTTTTCCAGGGATTGGTCCAATTGGGGATGGGACACTCCGCTGGCGGTGGAAGCGGAAGCTAGAAGCAGAGCAGCTGAAGCGGAATATGTATGAAAATATGGGTTGTTTATCTTAAGGAAATATGTGTTATTTTATTTTTCATAAATCCTAGAAGTATTTGCATAGCTAGGTGTTATTCTAAGCAAAAATACGTGTTGTTGTTTATCTTTCACTGCACCATTTCGTAGTTTTGCAACCTATAAATCCACCCGTGAGAAAAGGACACGGAGCAACCGACGGAGGAACTTACGAAGTCCCAATCCTATCATAGCAAACCCCCGAAACGCGTAAGACTCCAAAATGAATACACTCAATATTGTAAACCAAAGTTTTTAGTTTGAGGCAAGTATTTACTATTAATTACTATTATATATATCCGTTCCCTCCCAATCTTGAACACTGCCTTATTTCAACCCTGGTTAAAGTATGTTAAAGTATTTTAAGTCTTGGGTTCTTCTGGGCATGGGGTGTATTTCACATTGGGGGATTCCATGGTCTCAGAGCACCGAAAATGCGACAAGGCTCTTGGGGCCCCAGGCATCAAGAAATAACCCATGAAGAGGCAGACCTCGAAGGATGTGCATGGCAGATTCTCGAATCGTTTTCCTGATCTCAATTCCACACAGTCGTCATAAGTTACACCATCCTAAAAAAACATTGTTCACAGTGGGGTTGAATACCACATTTAATAGTGGAGTTAAATAGTGTGATGTTCAACTTCCACACATTATTCACAGTGGAGTTGAAAACCACATTGAAATCAATCCCAAGTCACCAGATCGTCGTTGATGTCCATCTGTCCGAAAGTTTGACCGTGTCTGGTGCGATAGTTTGACCCTCATGAGATATCGCCAAATTCTTTCCTTCGTTGGGGATGGGTCAAAACGTACTGGCCTGCTGCGTCCATCGTAGAAATATTCGAAATGAATCGAAAAGACTATATAGCTACAGTAATGGGGTGACATTTACGTCAATTCAGCCATGTTTTGACCAATAGCCATATTGTGCACTCAATTGTCCATGTTGGTTCACCAACCCGAATTTCGGATGAATAAGGCCATTTTGGGATAGTTACCCAACCCTACCCCTCATTCCAGTGATGCCGCAATGAGGTCATTACAATTTACCCAGAATATTATCTCCATTCTACCCGAATTATTCCATATAGTCAGAGTGTATATATTTTTTTCCCGAGATTATATCTCCATATATCTCCATGATATACCCATAAAACCCACTGATTGTGTTGATATATGTTGATCCAAGGAAGTTTAGAAGTCAAACTTCCGACAATATGGACAGATGAAAAGCAGAGATGGGAAGAGTAAGAGAAGAGAAGAAAAGAGAAGAGAAGAGAAGAGAAGAAGAAACAGGATCAAAGAAGAGACAGTTAGAAGAAAGAAGATCCAGCCGCGCAACACTGGCCCCGGAGGGTCGAAAAGTAGGCTCGCTAAAGCGGCGGGTGCGGAGCCATCTGGCCAGATGAGAGATGAAAAATTGCACGCCGTTGTGGCGGGAAGCACATTTGGAAGTCAAAATGTACAAAACACACCAACATCGGACCACTTTTTGGACCAAAAGTGAGCAAAACGTGAGGGTTTTGTAGCATTTCCAAAATCGATGGCAAGCGTGGGACATTTGAAGAGGATCTGGAAAGATGCATTTCGCGTGGCAGGCCCAGTACAAGAGACATGTTCATCAGAGATGTTAGGAGGTCAGGGCGCTGATTTCTTGAGATACAAGTGCCGCTACAACTACAACTGCAACTACAACTACAACTGCAACAGCAACTACAACTACAACTACTGCTACTGCACTACACCACACTACATCCAGGAGTTGTGAGTGAGGTGCCCACTGCAACCATTGCAACCACTCCAAAAAGCACAGCTCCAACCACCTTTCGGTCCATCAGTGGATTCGCTCTGCCATCCATGCAGAACAACTCACCTCTCCAAAAATGTATCCTATCCTTGAAACTTCCGCCACCGCCTTGTACGGTACTACTGGTATGACCTGGACGACTCATTGTACCCTCTGGTAATTTAACATAGCTATTGAAAATGGCCATTTATAATCATTCATAGTGGATTTACCCATGAAAAATGATGATTTTCCATAGCTATGTTAATTTACCAGAGGGTAACATGTGGGGCCGTTGTTTGGGTGAGTGTCCAATCTTTGTCCTCCGCCCCATTTCGTTCCCATGAGGGCAGGGCAATGATGTCCACCTTTTCAATGCCACCAGGTAGCTTTTCCAATGACCTGCAAATAGTGACTATGAATAATCATGATTGTGGATGATTGTCATTATTACCATTAGTGTTTATATATATATATATATTTATTTATTTTATTTACCCCAAGTTATGGAAATGTTTATGAGGCAAATGATGATTGCCAGCGGACAATCAAATGTTCGTTGAATTTTCATGGAAACTTGATGGAATATGAATGGCTTATTTATGAGGATACATCATGATACAATGGCATATGGCTCTCTATTCATTATTCAATCTATTTATATAGCCAGATTTTTTGCATAGACCCTTGGAATCGCCCAATGTATAATTGCTAAAGGAAACTCGCTTTCCAACCCCCTAGGTGACAGCTATGTTCATTGGAAGGATGGTAGCTTTTTGACGGGAATGCGTTACTGGTTGGTGGTTTCAACCCCTCTGAAAAATATTAGTCAGTTTTTCCACTTTCCCGTTGGCTGCCGCGGTCTCACGAGCGGCGATGACCGAAGCCTGCTTGGCGTGCTTCGTTCACCTAAATTGTACAACCTATGCACCACCAACCGCAAAAGACGGAGTATGGACACTCCACGGCCGACACATGGCTTTATGCGTTCCCATCACTTGCTGAAAGTATCTCCACAGGTTATTCATTGCATCGATGGCTCCTGGAAGGCATGGCCTCTTTTTGAAACCTTTGACAGCAATGGAAAAACCCAATGGCCGCAGGGCCTTAACATCATGCATCTGAATCGGTGACTCGATTCCCTTCAACCACCATTGCAAAAACTTAATCCAAACTCGTGATTGCCTCGACAAGTCCAGCTTAAATTGATCTGCCTCCACTGAGTCTGTCCTCAGTGCATATACCTTGTCTCTTATCTGCACGGGTACCATCATGCTAGTTTCCAGTGCAAATGCTATGTAAATTTCCAAGCAACTGATCGGCTCTCCATCACCCCATTGCACCCCACGAATCCAGCATTGGAATCGCTTTGCAAATGCAGCTGTATATGGACAACCCTCTAAATACTCAGGCGACGGACACGGCAAGACAAACAAGGGACCAGACACCTTAGTAAGGGCAATCCAATCAGGGCAGGCCAACGGCACCTCTTTCCTGGGAGTGGCCTCAAGAAACCTGTCGCATACTGTCACCAACAGATCCTGAAAGGCACACATGCGTTGGAAAACTGTACCACGTTCAAGTACAATGGCTTCCATTTTTTGAAAAAGAGGGCCATGATCTAGTCGCACCGCATTTTTTGCACTTTGGTCAGCACATTCATTACCCCAAGCATGGAGACGCTGTACCTCCGAAAGACCATTCACATCTGTCACATGCGCCTTGACTTTGAACATCTGCACGTCACCTTCACTTCTGTAGGTGCCATAAAACTTGTCCCCACAGGTCTGCATGTTGACCTAGGATGACCTTTCCACCACGCTTAACTGCATCACCCATCGCGTGAAATTGGGACACAACCGCTTCACAATCCGAAAAAACATCCATACACCAAAACTTTTCCAAGGCCAGGACAAGTGCATAAACTTCGGCTCTATAAGAACTGTGATCCTGAAATGGCAAGATCTGCCTGACGACTTCCACCATCACGTTCTTTTCACGCTGCCATTCAATGACAGCCGAACCAGCTAAGCAGCAATCCCAGTATGTATTGAAAAAGGCCGACCCATCTGTGTAAACATGTCTACGTCCATGTACCTGGGCAGGCAAGACATTTTGGCGAGGAATCTGCAAACAGATCTTCTCCATGAGCGGTTGTCCAACCACGGGAAACAAACAAAAGGCCCAGACTGCCTGATTCTGTCCACCAAGCCACTCAATTACATCTTTATGCTTAACACGCAAGTCACTCAAACCACTACAGTGAAAAAGGCGGTGAAGTTTGCCATCCTTTTCTCCGCAAAACACACACCTGTCATTCACAGATTTGCTGGCATAATGAGATAAACCATCATTGGTGACATGCTTTCCGCAAGCATAAGTTTGCAATATGCCTTGGTGGCGCATCGGTCTATTGCGCATGCTCTTGGCAAATGAGGTGGCATCAAAGGTTTCTGTGTCAAACATCGGACGTTCAATTTGGTTGGCCACATGATACGGCCAAGCTTTATGCAACATCCGCATGACAAATGGAACAGAATCCTCCAGCCATCGCATCCGAAGTCCAGAAAAGTGTTCCATGACCTCCTTGTCAATCCATCTCCAACCGATGTCATTGAATGTCGACGCAAGTTGTTTGGTAATTCCAGCATTGGACTTCCAGCATCGGTTGACAAGACGGTTCAGAAATCCTTCCTTTCTGTCCGGGAAGATGCGCAAATATCGCCTGAAAAACTTTAGTTTCCTCTTCGCAAGTTGCAGTTGAGGGTCACTGAATTGGCCGGTGGCATTAACCGCAAGCCAAGCATTGGCACCTGATTTATATAAACCTAGAGCCTCTGCAGTGGCGGCCCGTAGCCGGTGATTTTCCTGGGCAGTATGTTTATGGAATTCCGATCCAAAACCTGCAATATCAGCACCAAGAGTGGCACACATCTTACCCTTAAACTGACGAGGTAGCTTACGGTTCTTGACCCTTTGAAGTGTTGCAACAGCTTTGCAAAGTCGGTTTTTTGCAACCCTCTTGCACTTCTTTTTGCTATATGACACATCGCACCCAAGGTCTTTTGCAGACAACTTGACACAAACCGGCTGACCATTCAAAGTGACATGTTGCAGCTGGCGTCGGATGTTCGTACTGGTGCCCCACAACCATGACTTTTCAGGGGAAATTTCCATGCCTAAGCTAGAAACAAGTCTTTCCAGTCGTGCAATGGCCTCACGGAGAAGCGACACCGAAACAGCTGAAAGTCCCCAGTTGTCAGCGTACATTACAATACTGATGCCGGCATTACCATCTTGCATGATCTCCGCCGCCAAAATGGTCAACGTAACCATAGAAACAACACTGAATGCACACCCCTCAGGAACACCGCACGTACTGAAATGCTCATCTCCAACCTGTCCTGCAACTTCAACCAGTCTGTGCAAACCATCCAACATGCTTTGATGGGCAGTGATGTATCGACCAGGTATCTTGAGCTTGTGCATAAGTTTGGCAAGTGTGGAACGTGGAATCAAATTAAAGCACTTTTTCAGATCTATGACAAGACCGCATCTGTGTAAGCCTGTTTCATGTGCTTCGTCAATCCAGTCACACACCAATGCATTAAGGCAGTCAGCACTCAACCTAGCCGCGATTCCCCCGATTTGAGGAGGTACCAATGCACCTAGATGTTGGATCACCTGCAAACTCCTAAATCTGCTCCAAAGCCGGTAGATGACACTCACAATGGTGATTGGCCGCACCGCAGTAGGTCTGTGGTTATCTTCCCCCGGCTTGGCCAGCATGGTGACTCGAGCCAAAGTGAGTCTGGAGGGCCACGGCATACCATTTTCAATGGCTCGGTACAGCATGAAAAGCCATGAAAGCAATTGATCAGGCATCATTTGCATATCACGCATGGAAAAACCGCAAGCACCCCTTGCACTTTTGATTTTGACTCCCTTCAAACATCTTCTCCAAGTGTCATGCTGAATCTCCTGGAAAGGACACGACGGACAGTCATTTAAGCTTTGTACAAAGGCATCAGCATCATGGTTCACTACATCAGGTGCCTGCCAAAATTGGTTCCAAGCATCGCAGACCATGCTTTGCATTTTTTTGGGACACGCCTCCTTTCTGGGTTGTGTGAGCATCAAATCATTCATAGACCGACATTTCACCGTTCTGTCAAGGTGAAGGAAGTCAGCATCAATTTCATTGAGAATGGCTTGCTGCCCCTGAAAATTAACCGGCATTCCCACTTCCAAAACACATGGTTGCTTATATCTAAGCCTATGAGACCCACCCAAAGTCCATCTCTGTCTGGCAAGCGGTTGCACAACGTCATAGGACATAAAGGTGGGTGGTGGTGCAGATTTCTCTTTAACAGCCCTATAGGCCATTCCACCTCCTTTGGCAAGGTCTGTAAGTGAGAGCTTATTGAAGCGCTTGAATTGTTCATACCTCTCACCTCTGACCTCCTTCTGTACCATGTCATGCAAGACTTCATACAGTCCTTCCACGTAGACACGTTCAGGCAAGCAGGAAGGGACAAACCATCCAATTTCATCCAAGATCCATTGCTGAAACCCTTTATGGAACCCGCTGGCAGAGCAAATAGCCATCCAAAGCATATTGCATTGCATCAAGTTCTCACCTGTAGGATTTCTTTCACGTGCTCGGAGTTGTCTACCCAAGCTCAGCAGACGTCGACACTGAGTAACCCTACGTTTGAGTTTGATAGAGATTTGACCTATGGACACATGGACGTCACCCTCTCTACCTGGCCGGAGAACGTGTGCAGAAATGGTTTTTTTCTTCACAGCTTTGGCACGACATCTCTTGAAACATGCTGCAGGAACAGGTATTTCATGACCTTCAACATCGACAGCACTATGGCGTATCATGTCATCAAAAGCTAGTGCAAACTGCTCGAGTGCTTTGTCAGCATGTCCAAGAGCCAGGGCCTCCTGGAATTTATGACCCCTGCTGTTACAAGCCACCTCACAATTTTTTTCCAGCGTCGCATTATCAAAAAGCAGGCCATCAACACTTCGGGGAAGCGACCACGCCTGTTTCCAACACGGACTTTCACCAACATCGAACGTAGCCTCCAAGACCGGGTGAGCATCAAACATGTGGTGGTCAACCGTACCGCAGTGTTTGAAAAACCTCGCCATGATGTCATTCACCAAAATGAAAGATCTTCGTGCAGCATCTTTACAAGTGGGTTCAGGAACTTTCTGATGCATCATCCACGCAAGCTCAGCGCAATCATGCCATCCCTTTGCACGCAAGGATTCCCAAAAAATGCAGTCTCCCAAATCACGATTGAAATCACCAGTAATCAGAGCGGGGCCCTTATAGTTGGTGGCTCTTTGAAGACCAGGCAGAATAGCATTAAGAAAAACCTTTTCACCATTGGCATAAGTGCAGTTATTGATAGGTGGTGCATATGCAACGCAAACATACGCACGAAACCCATGTCCCATGTGGACCAGTGCATCGCTGAACCTGCAGGAAGCTTTGACATCATGTTCAAGTTCCATGGGATATGGTACAAGCTGTAACCTTGAAAGGATGGCAGTACCCATGGCCTTACCTCTATAAGATCCTGCATTGTTGGAATGTTTCTCAACAGGCTGGCTGAAAACAGAATGCACATCGTTTTGATGAAATCTGCGTTTGAGAACTCCAAGTGCCGCAGCTGTGTGTGACGTCTCGGACGCTGTCCAAATTCCATCCGGCCATTTACAAATTTCACTCTCATGACCAAGCAGCTGTGCAGGATTGAAAGTACGGACCACCACCGGTCCCGGGTTCAAAGCTTCTCCTACACGCCAAAACTGTGCATGGGAAATCATGGACAAAAGATGAAAACAGCTGCAAGTATGGCAAGGCCAGTAAGCATATCTATACACACAAAATTTGCCTCTACTCCATCTGCAGCAGAAAAAGGTTGGGGCAAGGAACATGTCATAGGAGACTTCCACCTCCCGTCGATGGCATCCAAAGCAATCGGAGCTGCTCCAACGTACAAAAACATGGCAAAGACAACATTCTTGCAAGCGCAGACCCCATGAAAACAAAGGGCCAAAGGGCATGCGAGAGCTCAGTTGTTCAAACAAATTACTGCCTCCAATGACTAACTGCCGGAGGCTGTCATTCTTTTGATGTGGGCTACTACCAAAATACCTACCCTGAAAAGGCAGGCTATACACATGTTTGCCGCCCTCATCAAGACGACCACCATCATTGTCGCCACTAAACGGTCGACATCTTCCACCACTACCGTCTCTAAACGGTCGGCTACGCAAACATACTTTGCAGAGGCATTGTCTGCTCATTTCATTGCCGCCACGGAACGGTCGGCCATCTAATTCATTTCCATTGCAATCATCATCCAATTCCATTATACGTTCACCACCGATAGGAAAGCACTCATGCAAGTTACTTACCAACAAAGATTTGTCAGTACACCAAGGTTCACAACCATCCACGAGATTGCGATTTTCTCCAACATGCACAGGAAAGCTCTGGCAAGCATGCAAGTCACGCTCTTGGGCAACTACTGGAACATTGAGAGCTTTACTTAGCAACGTGTGACAAGGATCACAACCAGGAACATTGGGACTACAGTCACCTTTTGGAACTTCAGGCTTGCAAAGAGTCGGTTGATGAGTCCTGTCCAACCACCGCCCACAAACTTCGGCATGGCTATGGGTGGTAACATGGGCATGGACAACTCCTCGTTGCTCCCCTAAGTGCGGTTGGCTTCCATCACAATCAACAAAATTATGCATCCCCCCAGATGAAAACCCGGAGGTAGGTTCCGCAAACTGATCATGCATTTCACCGAATTGCCTCGTGCAACCATGCCGTCCGATCTGCAGTGCACCTGAAAGGCCAACACCTACGAACAGAAGCATGCAAAAGAAGGCTCTGGGAAACTTCACATTCAATTTCCCTTGCCTAACATGTCAAGCCTTCTTGGCAAATGGGTCATTCTTGGCTTCGGTCTTCTGTCGTTTTTCAGGATCATTGACCAATGCTTGCACCGTCTGCTCCATATTGGCCTGCATCTTTGTGAACATGTTCTGCATTTGGGCGATTATCTGTTGACCATTGTTGGCCACAGTTGATTCCACTTCAGCAAGTTTCTTCTGAGTGAAGGCTTGTTCCTCTCGAACCTGTCCTAGATCACTTGCAAGATTTGAGTGCGACATCTCGGTTTTGTTCTGAACCTCTTGCAGTGCATGCGTCAGCTGCTCTATCTTGGTATTGGCCATCTGCAGTTTAGCTTCAACAGCTTGAGAAATCTGAGTTTCAACCTGTGCACGGAATTCTGCAAACCTGGAGGTGGTGGAGACTACCCCATTTTCTTGGGTCGTGTTGACTCTGACCTCTCTGGCAACCATGGTGATAGGCACGCTGTCTTGGCCCTTATTGAGCCTTTCAACCATCATTATGGCTCCGTTGATGATGACATGACTGTTGGCTGGGTCTGACTTGGCGGCTATGATCCACCGATTCATGCCCTGGGGACGGACAGCTGTTGCTTCCCATCCAGTCTTCTTCAGCGCTTCAGTCAATTCTTCACGGCAAACTTGTGGGACATTTCGGGCAACAAACAATACCTGATCCTGGGGACATGTCGCTGTTTCAACAAAGGCTGATTCAGGCAACAGCTGAGCTCGAATGCAAATTGCGTCCTCACGCAGGCACCTGATGGCAAAGTTTTCCCCAATTTTCGCAATTCCCAAGGCTTTGGGGCAAGCCTCTGCTTTGGCCATGACCTCACTCAATTGCTTTGCAGGCAAAGAAACTGTGGTGTACCGTGGATCATGCTTCTTGTCAAGCGTCTTTGGGTTCATGAAAATGCCTGCCGATCCACTTCGGGGTAAAACCTGTGCAAGTAAAACATCAGCAACACGAAAGTATCCATGCCAATGATTGGCCTGTTGATGGTGTACAACTTTGTTGTCATTCCAAGCTTTGACACTCCAAACCGCCAAAAGGTTATTGCCCCTTAATGCAGGTACATGGACACCAACATAGTGCAGGGGGACTGCAGTATCTTGCCAACTTCCAACAAAGTTCTTATAAATGCCAAACTCGATGACTGTGGACGCCGTCTGCACAACATCAGCCATGGGCAGCTGCAACTTGAACTCAATGTCGGTGTCACCAAACTGTAACAGACATGCTTTGACAATCACTGGCGACCCATTGGACAAGTGAGCAGGCATCGAAAACGTATTTCCCAATTGTTGCACCCCTTCTCCAATGACCAAAAGGGCTAACGGATCACACGACCGAGCCCCAACCTGCATACATCTCTGCGCCTCAGCTGGCGACACTATGCATAAGCCTGACTGGTCCGGCCCAAAACGGCTGGTTTCCAACATTTGCACCTTTTTTCCCTCTGCTTGAAAGTGGGCAGGATCCACCTGAATGGCATGAGCTTCTGGTGTAAAAGTTTTGGGTTTCTTGACTTCACTCTTAGTCGAAGGCTTTTCTTTTCGATTCTTTTGTTGAAATGCCTTCAGCTCAGCAGGTAAAATCAACCGAAAACGTGCCTCACTTGCCAGCTCTTTGAGAGCCTTCCATGTACCTGCCTCCTGTGGATCACCAAGCGCATTCAGTTTGTCATACTGAATCTTACTCAACAAGTCCATAACCCTGTCTACAACAGCGTCTTGTGGAACTCCTCGATCAGTGAGCATGGACTTCAACTTACTTTTCAACATCTCATTCTTTTCAGCCTTTCCACCTCCCAACAAAGGACAGATTCTCACGTCAAGCACTGCCGCTTCATTGATGTACTCTGCACGCATCAAAGGGTCAACAACTTGCCCATTCTGTGAGGCCATCATGCTTGTGAAAACCCTTGACATGGTCAGGTAGCTCGCAGCGATTTCTGCTACAGTTGCATCATTGGGACATTTGATTTCACAAGGCTTTGCTCGAAAGGGCGATCTGACCACCAGAGTTCGACAATCTTCCACAATTTTGGATTGCACCGATGGGGTATCAATCTCTTGCGTCCATCTGACCTTCGTGACCTCAGTTCTTGGGAATGGACGTGCGCCATCCCATTGGATGGTAAACTTCACAACTGAGTTGACCTGGGCATTTGGTGCAAGTTCCACCGTGTCACTAAAAACACTCCATGGCGTGTTGGCATGCAAATCAGGGAAGAGCATCTGAACAATTCCTGACACTGTTGCATTGGCATCGGCTGCACATGTAGGCACAATCTTCCTGTTGGGATGTCGGACACACCATCTGGCATCACGAGCAGACGGCACAAATCCAGGATCCTTGACTTGGCGACCGCTTCTTTCCCATGACACATACGCTGGTAAGCAGGCCTTGAACTTCAGGTCAAACTCCACAGTATCATATTGGCCCAGGAAGGCATTGTCTGGGATTTCAATCCTACCATGAAACATGGACAAAGACTCCGGGTTGCAGCCGACTTCACAAGCCACGTATGACAATGCAGTACGTGCAGTCCATGTAACGTCAGCTTGCAGCTTCAGAGTAAGCGGCATTGATTCTTCTCGGCATGCGAGGACAGAGAAGACTGGATCAAACACAAGCTTCTGCATGGCTTTGTTGGGCAAAGCCTGGTTCCATTCCACCTTGACGTCATCAACCCTCAAGCTAAGGAAATGGCAGGCATCAGCATGAGGCATCCCTTTTCTGACAGCCGTACCAATTTGATCACCCTCACGCACATTGACAAACATGACCCAATGCTTTTCCATGTGTTCCAAAATGACCAACTTGTTGCCCCCAACTGCAGCAAGGGTAGCATTCCACCTTGGGTCATTGGCTTGCACAAACTTGGGACACTTCTCGAATGCTTTTGTCGAGGCAACACCATCTTCATCTTCATCATCAACTTGAATGGGGACGGTTGGAGGTACTTCCTCATTCCTACTTTTCTTTGCTGCAGGCTCATTGTCACACTCAACCAGCTTCCACAAGCCTGCGGTCTTGACTGATTCAAAACAGGAAAGTTGCATACCTGCTTGAACAACCTCCAACACATGTTTTGCTGGGTCGACATGTCCAACCCACGGTGAGTCTTTTCCCAACAGCACGCATGTTCTATGGATGGCAAGCCATGCATGAACTGCTGACAATCCATTTCCAGCTTGTTTCCATGCTTCATGAACATTGGAACTCAGGATGGTCTCAGGCTTGTATGCCATCGCAGCCAACATTTCCCATGGTGACAACATGCGAATGCCTTGGCCATCACGGATCAACATCGTCTGCAACCCCTTTTCCTTCAACAAACTCATGTCAAGTTCATGTTGTTTGGCGTATGTAGCCATGAAACATGGGCATTGCTGGCCAACTTTGACAACACGACACTCAATCAAGGCTTCATGTGTCATGCCGGCACATGAACCCTTCAACCACCATGGTGCAACATCGGGGTCACCAAGTAACTGCAAGGCCTCATTAGGAATCATCAACTCCTCCCTTTCAGCAGGCTGGCATCGTTTGTGTTCCATGTCAAAGGTTCCCAACTTGGGCGTCTTGGCAACGCAGGCAAACATGCAACTGGCGAAATTCACATAGCTGGCGATTTTCACACGTTCCTCATCAACAACCGCTTCATTGCTGACAAAAGTTCCTAACCACCTATCTCGACGAACAGGCAGCAACTGATGGCATGCAAAAACCCCTTGTGTCCTAAGGGTCAACCCTTGCTCGGCAATTTTACGTACCATCTCTTTGAAATCACCATGCTTCGGCAAACCTGCAACATTTTCGACCACCACAACTGAAATTCTCATGAACACAGCCCATTCCAGGTGAGTGAGAAAAATTCTTCCATCTTCACATGTCAAACCCTTGTTGTTGCCAGCACCGGACCAAGGTTGGCATGGCGGGGAACCAACCACACGGTCCACATTGGCCAATCCAGCAGCAACCCACACCAGTGGATTCTCCACCTTATCGGCCAACACACATACTGGAAAATGTTCACCATTGAGCACCCTGTCAACATACGACTTGGCATCAAGGCATGGGACATCCAACTGTGCGGCACAAACCTTTGCAGTTTCTAAGTCGGCTTCAACCAACAAAACTGGCTGGTCATCGAAATGCTTCAACACCTGTGTCCATCCAGCAAGACCTGCGAAAGTCTCCATGGTATTCAATCGCCCACGTTTCTCAGAGGCATGCATGAAAATCATGGCTCCGTCTTGACTCATGGCATAGAACTGGAGTTCACCTTCATACCATTGTGTCTGGAATCCCTTGATGGAAATGAGACCGCCCACCTGAAAATGCTGAGACCATTGCACATCTGTATGCAAGATCCCCTTGACACCACCAAATGAGATTCGATGAGCTGAAAACCCCACAGAATCAACTTGCATCACCAACGCTTTGTCAGGATCCATGGCACCCTAAAGCAAAACAATGAAAGACAACACCGGTCTTCGGTTGATTCCAGCCTACCAACTGGGAGGTACCGGACCACTTGGGCACAGAGGCTGAAAAATATTAGTCAGTTGGGATGATTATTCCCAATATATGGGAAAATAAAACTCATGTTCCAAACCACCAACCAGGCAAAGAGGATTGACAGTTTGTCCCCAGTTTAGCATAGGTTTGTTGATGCTTGGAAGAGTTCCAGTTGTTTGAATCCCCATACCAAACTGGATCAACAGCCTCGTACCCTGCGGCTCACATCCCGAACATGTTGCCATGTTGTGGTCTCGGCAACCGATGGGGTATCAACCCATACCCACAGTCTTTTGGACCGGAAAGGAACCAGAAAGACATGGTTGAATTGTTGAAATGAAACTATCAGAACCTACCATGAAAACACCAGGAAAACTTGATCTTGATGGGCCCTGATTTCACATTTTTTTTTGGGATGTTGCTTCTGAATTGATAATCATGAAAGATACCCTCCAGTAATTTTCCAGGTCCCAATATAGATGTTCCAATTACAAGCTGCCGAGGGGATTTCCCAGCCATGCTGGATGACAACGACTTACAACGACTTGGCCGAAAAATTCACTGATTCTGAAAAATGGGTATGGATCAATACCTATTAATATCATTTTTAGGGGAATGAACATCCATTTACCAGCTATTTTGATGTGAACTACAGGGGTACCAGGGTTTTGACCCATCCCCATATAGTAACTTAGTAACTCTGTGAACTAAGCAGCTTTCCTTGTCCCAGTCACGAACCAGTCATCCCTGTCATTTTAAGCTGGTTGGTGGTTTCAACCTACCCCTCTGAAAAATATGCTCGTCACTTGGGATGATTCCTCCCAATATATGGAAAGTCATTCAAAATTCCATGGTTCCAGTCACCACCGATCGTTTCATTCAGAAAGCTGTTTTGTGGCCATCAACCCCTAAACCTGGCTCCCAAAGTGGAGCTCTACCTTCTGCCTAAAAAAAAACCGCTGGCTTCTAACCACACTTCTAACCCCCTGTCATCCCACTGGTTATGGATTCCCAGGCATCCGAGAATTCCCAACCAGCAGGCCCAAGCTCATCATCAACCATCATCTATATCAAAGCAGTTGTAGTAGATGCCCAGATGCTCATATCTTTAGTAGATAACATTCCATAAAATCACTGGTTAGATGCCCATATTTTGTTTAAAGAACATTCCATAAAATCTGGTATTTTTTTTTGCAGAACTGATGGCTAAAATCCCATGATTCATCCCGTGACCAGGCCGTCGACATCGTCAGCGACTGCGGCCTGGGTGTTGCGCAAACGACCTCAATGACCTCGGTGACAGGACATGTTTTTTCTACAGAAGTTATGATTTTTTGAAAAAATGATAACTCATAACTAATACTATAACATGGTTATAAGTTATGAGTTATAGATGTTATAATGTTACAGTTATGAGCGGACCTTTGAAGTGATGAGACATATGTTGGTTGATGAAAGGCTTATTTTCAGACATCATCCAGATCATGAATCATTCCAATGCCACCGCTAGCGGTGGATCCATGAACGTGGAACGTATCAACGTGGTCACCCATAGTAGCAGTATGCAAAATTCTATCCATACAATGGCATACTATGGCTACTATGGATATAATTCTATGGATATCACGGAAATTGAAATAACAAATATGATTTGGATCTGTTATGTATTTTACAAGGTCAGCCACCAATATGTTACAACACTAATGGGGGCAAGTAACCGCTAAGCTGCTGGCACTGTTTTGAACCAACGCTACAGAGTAGTACGATGATATGTACACTACATGGTTTTACTGCAGGAGTTTTTACACCCCCCTCGGGCGAGCAGGGACGACTGCGGAGAACGAATAACCCAGAAAAGCATACCCTCGCGGGTAGCCAAATTTCTTTAGGTGGTTTTGAACATTTTGTGCAGTCTTTCAAAGGTCCCTATAAAAAGCTCAAGCCCGTAAAACCCAGCGCAGCTTTGCAAGGAAGGCACATTACCATGCCGCATCTTGCGCTATGCTACAAAAGAAAATCATCGTCTACCTGCGGTTCCAATAGATCCACCGGCCGCCGGCCTCGTCACGGTAATACCAAGCCCCACGCCAGAAACTCCATTCTCGGCGTGCACCATAGTGATCACGATTCCAACTCCAAGAGGCATCCGGGCGACCGGAGCTTGCAGCCTTCGGTGCGACAGTGCTTGCTGCTTTTGCAGTGGGCGGTGTCTCAGGCTCCAAGAATGGTCGTGCTCCTGCTTTGGATGTTGGTGGTTCGGGTGCAAGAAATGGTGCATTGTTGGGATCAACTGGGGCATCAGCGTGCGAGGCGTCTGCGCGAGCAGAGCTTGAGGCGGCTGTGTCGGTGTGTGTGGTGGCGGATGCATCAGCTTCGGCTTTGCGCTTTCGCTCAACAGTGGGCGCGACCGTGGGGTCGGCCTTGTGACCTCCAGGACCTCCAGCCTTTGCAGCGGCGCTCTGCTTCTCTTTGCGTTCAAGGTTGCCCCGAACCAATGGAAGGTTTTCCTCATACACCTTTTCGAGGAATTCAAGAGTGCCATCAAAAGGAACTTGGACAGTGCCCTTCCAGGTCAACAGGCCACGGTATGCGCCACGACGGCCGATGTAGCTGATATATTCATCCTCTGTAAAAATGTGGCGGCCGAACATGAAACCCCAGACCTTTTTCCATGTTTTGCGGAACTCAACTGGGAACCCATCCACGCCTCGGGGCTGTGACATGAAAATCAGCTTGGATAAGCAGCTTTCATTTTGGGCATTGGCGGCGACGCCAGCCGAGACCTGAGCTCTAGTCCTTGGGGGATCGGGGAGGTTGCCGTATGCAAACATATCATCAAAGATACAATCCTGCAGGCCCTTCCCCTCACCGTGGATGCGGTCGCAAAAGGTGACATCGCTTGCGAATCTGTCTTCCACATCTTCATATCCAAGCGCTTTTGCACGACGATGCCTATCGCGGCAGTCTTTGAGGACTGCTGATTCCACGGATGTGATTCCCCTGGGGCCCAGTTCCCGGCGAAGAAGATCGGCTTGTTCATTTGTCAAAGCCGTCAACAGGGTGCCGCTCATCTTCCCATACATTCCGAACCCGGCGAGACTCTGCATTCGCCGTTCAAGGATGCGGGTCCTTCTGTTGGATCTGTCGGCCTCTTTTGTTTCGCCACTTTCGTCCACTGGGAGTGGCTCATATCCACATGTGGTGCATGTCACTTGGCCACTGACGTACTCAACCTGGCAGAGGGGGCATGAGCCCATGAAAGGTTCGCAGTACTTTGGTGCAATGTAAACACGGCGCGTCCTTGCGGACGGCTGGTCAACTTGCATTGAGGCAGTGGCTGCATCATCAGTGGACGTGGCATCGGGTCGCCCCGTGCTGGTGTCATCCCTTGGGTCGTCATTTGCATCATCTCGGGCAGTCAGGGTGACCGCTTTGGAACTTGGTGCTGAGGCCGATGCCGCGCCTGTCCATGTAGTGGGCTCGAGATTGCTCTCGGCGCGGGACCAAAGCACCTGTCCATCCTCTGAGATGCTGACCAGAAACTGCGGTGGGATGCGTTCTGAACACAAAATACCATCCATTTCTGTGCGACTAAAGATGACACCAGCTTCAACTGCTTGCCGCATTGCGATTTTGACTTCGACTGGACATTTTGCTCTTAATCCAGATCGATATCCCTGTGTGCCTATACAGTGTTCTGCCATGTAGATATGAGCACGGCCACTGTTGACTGTGTCACCGCCGCCTGGGATCAGGCCGTTCTGTGCGATGCTCTTCCAACTGCTTCTCATCGTGCGATGAAAAACAATTTCAGGGACCTCAGTCATGGCACACAAGGGCACGCCAGTGAAGGCGGCTTTTCGCTCAGGGGAAACTTGGTTTGAGCAATACACCATGGTTGAATTGGCATAAAGGCCCCCGGCGGTTTTCAAGGCAGCTTCGGAGTGACCCTGAATTGCACGAATTTTCACAGGGTAATACGGCATACCTAAGCCATTGTCGACAGGAAAATGGGAGATCTTTGCACACAAGAATTGGAACCTACTCTTGCCATGCTTGTCGATCTTCATTGCAGTGCCAAACAGGTTTGAGATGGTGATGAACACATCTGGGGGCACTTCCTTGCGGAAGGCTTTGGCAAAATCCTCCAAGTCGATCCAAAGGTCTTTGTCCATTGGCACCTTGGAACAGGATCCATGCCCCCTGCAAACTTTGTTGACACGAGTTGCAAAGTCGGAGAACTTCTTGTCGACGCGAGTCTGGCTTGCAATGGTCTCGACGTCGGATGCCGATATCAGCTCCAGCTCATAAGCCGTACCTTCAAAGAGGATCCCGGGCACATCATCCCCGTCTGCATTGGTCACCATTGTATATTGGTATTCAGGCAAATGCTCTTCCATCCAATATGCTTTCACGTGGCCGGATGCATGTTCCTCTAAGCGCGCGGTTGCCCGCGGCTGGTACTGGCTGGATGTGGCCTTCTTGTCATCTGCGGGCTCATCCACTGGGACTGGTGCTGCTTTTGGCCTCGACTTCAACATGACCTCAGCCGTCTGGACCAGGATTGTTGCTCTGCTGGATGCAGCGGGCTCGCCGTCGCCGGCGGCCTTTGGAGGGTCATCTTTGGGAGGTTCAGCAAACGTGCCCGAAGGCATCGTCTTGGTGTCGATGTAGTCCTCGGTGTCAGGTTGCTGTGCTTCGACATCCTCCTTGGTGAATGACCTGCCCGTCGGCGTGATGTGTCTGCGGGACTCTCCAAAAAGCAACTTGGTGATGCTTGCACATGTCTCCTGATAGGATCTTGGCAGCTCGTCCAGGACGGCGCTCAGGTTCCTCCGCAAGTCATCCCATGTTTCCTGGCCACACTCAGACAGCTGCAAACCAATCCGACCAACCCGCCAGCCGCAATCAATTGCGAAAAGGGTAGCTGTCCAAT